TATATGTAATCTTAATTACCAAAATCCATGTTTTATTCCAATTGTTTTTCACAAACTTTCAGGTTATGATGCCCATCTATTTATAAAAGAATTTGGGAATGATAATGAAAAAATAAAATTACTCTCAAATAATGAGGAAAAATATATTTCTTTTTCAAAAATGATGTCACGTGAAGTAAATAGGAAAGGTAAAGACATAAAAATATGTACAGAATTAAGATTTATTGATTCATTCAAATTTTTACCTAGTTCTTTAGAAAAGTTAACAAATAATTTAAGAAATGATTCGAAATTAAATTAAAAAATAAATTTAAAGAACTTAGTAAATATTTTCCTGAAGAACATTTAGATTTAGTTACTAGAAAGTTAGCATATCCCTATGAGTATATGGATTGTGAAGAAAAATTTAATGAAACATGTTTACCTCCTATTGAAAAATTTTATAGTTCTCTCACAGATAAAAATATAACTAAAGAGGAATATTAAACACTTTCCAAATTTTATGTGAGTTTTTATATTCCTCTTTAGTTATATTTTTATCTGTGAGAGAACTATAAAATTTTTCAATAGGAGGTAAACATGTTTCATTAAATTTTTCTTCACAATCCATATACTCATAGGGATATGCTAACTTTCTAGTAACTAAATCTAAATGTTCTTCAGGAAAATATTTACTAAGTTCTTTAAATTTATTTTTTAAATTTAATTTCGAATCATTTCTTAAATTATTTGTTAACTTTTCTAAAGAACTAGGTAAAAATTTGAATGAATCAATAAATCTTAATTCTGTACATATTTTTATGTCTTTACCTTTCCTATTTACTTCACGTGACATCATTTTTGAAAAAGAAATATATTTTTCCTCATTATTTGAGAGTAATTTTATTTTTTCATTATCATTCCCAAATTCTTTTATAAATAGATGGGCATCATAACCTGAAAGTTTGTGAAAAACAATTGGAATAAAACATGGATTTTGGTAATTAAGATTACATATAGAATGTGCTGCTCCTCTATATTCTCCAGTTAAGTGGTCATGATCCCGAACTTTTTTCATATTTATTTTTTTATTTTTTGTTTCTTCATTAAGTTTATCTTCAAATGATTTAATACGATACTTCTCAGCATTACATTTTTTATAATATTTAATAGTGTCAATAATTATTTTAAATTTTTTCTCTAAAACTGGAGGTAATTCATCTAAACATCTTTCACAAATATGACATTTATTACAATCTCCAACTGTACAGTAATTTTAAACTTAGATTTCAGTCAAAATTTACCTGATAAAACAATTTGTTATATTTGTTTAATTTCTAGTGCAGTGTATACGTTTGATATTGAAAGAGGAATAGTTGATGAAAGCTATTAAATATATTAAAATTAATTAAAAAATCGTTCCCTACTTTAATTTTTCAAGATATTTTATCTTGAAAAAAAAGTTTTTAATATTTATTTTTTTATTAGATCAAGAACACCAATAAATTCTTCATCAAAATTAACAATATTACCTTTCAAATCTAAAATATAAATTTCTATTTTTTGAAACTGATTTTTACTCACTGGTCTATATATCATTTTATGAGGTTTAATCAAAGCACTATTAGAATTATATTGAAATAAAAATAAAACTTCATCATAATGAGATACCGCATCAATATTATGTGTAATAGATTCTTCAATTATATTACAATGTACTTCTAATATTTTGTTGTTATTATTTAATGATGAATTTTCTCCATGATGTGTATGTATCCCTCCTAAACTTAAATTTAAATCTTTATCAAATGAAAAATAATCTTTTGTTGTTATTTTAATGTAATCACCATTATTTTCAAACTTCATATTCGAATTGAATAAACTATTTAAATGTTCAATTGAATAATTTCCTTTTAATTCTGTTTTACTATTTTCATTAGAAATAATACCATTTATTTCTTTTAAGAAACTTTGAGTGTAAAATATTGGAGTTTTTATTCCTATTACCGTATAAGCAATATCTGGTGTTGTATACTCAACATCTAATTCTATTTCTTTCCCTTTAGGCCATGTTTTATTAATAGGGATCAGACGATTTATAAAATTAAAACCTAAACAATTTGATAAATATTCATCAAAACACAAACCAATTGAAGCAGTTATTTTTAATAAATTTTTATTTATTTCAAGATTTATTTTAGGAAAATTTTCCACAAATTTAGTTCCGAATGAATTAAATAAATTTTCAATTTCACCTATTGAATAAATACCAATAAATATTGTACCTAGTGGGATTTGACCATTTCGACCTAATCTAAATTCACATTCTTTTTCAATATTTATATAATATTCACCATCAATAGGATAGTACATTTTTTTCTCACTTGTCGAAAAATCTATATTATCATTAAAACCTAAATATTTTTTTAATTTTTCATCTAATTTATAATAACAAGGAGATTTAATTGTAATTCTATTAGTTTCATCAGAAAATGATATAATTAGTAAATATTTTCCTGAAGAACATTTAGATTTAGTTACTAGAAAGTTAGCATATCCCTATGAGTATATGGATTGTGAAGAAAAATTTAATGAAACATGTTTACCTCCTATTGAAAAATTTTATAGTTCTCTCACAGATAAAAATATAACTAAAGAGGAATATAAAAACTCACATAAAATTTGGAAAGTGTTTAATATACAAAATATGCGTGAATTCACTAGTTTATATAATAAGATCGATGTTTTATTATCAACAGATATAATAGAAAATTTTAGAGACATTTCTTTAAAAAATTATAAATTAGATCCTATGTGGTATTACACAACACCAGGATTTGCATGGGATTGCATGTTAAGAATGACAAATGTAAAATTAGATTTATTAACAGATATAGATCAAATATTGATGTTTGAATCTGGAATCAGAGGTGGCTTATCTCAATGCAGTCAAAGATATTCAAAAGCAAATAATAAATACATGGGAGATAAATTTAAAAAAAAGGATGAATCAATATTTTTAGAATCCTTAGATGCAAATAATCTTTATGGTTGGGCAATGAGTAAATATTTACCTACTGGAGATTTCAAATGGGTTGATAATCTGAATGATTTTAATGTAATGAATATTTCTGATAAATCACGTAAAGGTTATATTTTAGAAGTTGATTTATCTTATCCTAAAGAACTTCATGATCTACATTCAGATTTCCCTTTAGCACCAGAAAGACATTTTGATAACAAACAACTTCCAAAATTATTAACAACTTTGTATGATAAGAAAAAATATATAATACATTATGAAACACTAAAATTATATATTAATTTAGGTTTAAAGATAGAGAAAATTCATAGAGTATTAGAATTTAGTCAATCTCCTTGGTTAAAAGTTTATATTGATTTTAATACTAATCTTAGATCAGAAGCTAAGAATGAGTTTGAAAAAGAATTTTTCAAATTAATGAATAATAGTGTTTATGGACGTACTATGATGAATGTTAGAAATCATGTTGATATAAGATTATGTTCTAATGCATACCAACTAGAAAAATTAATTACAAAACCAAATTTTGATCGAAGGACAATTTTTACAGAAAATTTAGCTGCCGTACATATGAAAAGAACACAAATATCTTTCAAACAACCAATATATGTAGGAATGTGTATTTTAGATTTATCTAAAATGTTAATGTATGATTTTTATTATCTATCTATCTATATATATAAAAATGAATGTATGTCTGTGTGTCTGTGTGTCCATGTTACCATGGTTACCAAGGTTGCCATGGTTACTAAGGTTACTAAGGTTTCATGGTTATTAAGGTTACCATGATCCATAGTTACCATGGTTACCATAGTTACCATGGTTACCATAGTTACCATGGTTACCATAGTTACCATGGTTACCATAGTTACCATGGTTACCAAAGGTACCATGGTTACCATGAGTGTTGTAGCTATTATAATCAAAAAAGGTCTTTAATGGGCAACGAAGTGCATGGGATCAGATATTTTATATATATAGTCCGTGTGTGTCCAGTGGACACTGTCCACATTACCATGACAACCTTTTATATTTTATTTTGTAACTTCCTATGGAAAGTTTTGTATATAAATGGTTGCCATTTTGATATGTAGAACATATTATTCATGTAGAGTTGTAATTTTTAATGTGAATTGATAATCATTGAGATGTTGACGATGTTGTGCTCAAATAGGGATTTTGAGATTTTATATGGACTTTTTCGTTTATAAATAGTTGCCGTGGGTTTCAAAGCTATATAATAATAATAATTATCGGTTGCCATTGGTTAATTTGGTTGTTATTTAAGAAGACCAGTTGATTTATTTGTGTACGCACCGGACGGTACAACGAAAAATATTGTATATCCAAAAGCACTTCTGTAGATGGCAAGTGTAAAACTGTGCACGAATAAAATTTATTTATTGGTTGCCATTGGTTATTCGGGCAGATCAGGTACAAGCTTGCATCAAATCGAATTATTGAACAATGCTTACCAGGGTGGCAGAGTTGCACTTACCGCAGAAAATTACACCCAAAAGGAGTTCAACAATCATAATTTTTTTAAGAGTTGCGATTTTTTACGAGCAGCCAAATTTATTATATTAATCCACAGTATTACATCAAAATAAACTTGGTATAACTTTGATACTTTAGAGTTAAATCATACACTTCCGTACAAACAGCACGGGGTCCGCGATCTACCGCAGGTAGATTGCCTACCTGATAATGTACTGCTGCGATTCAGAATTTTTATTCAGGGCAACGGGAAAGATAAGATAAATTTTGAACACCATACACCGAATATTGAATAATGAATTGAACAAAGTTTGAGTAGGTAGTATTGAGTTGATCCATTTAATGGGCGACGAAGTGCACGGGATCAGCTAGTAATATTATAAAGAAAAAATATGTAAATAGAGTTAGATTGTTATATACAGATACAGATTCACTAATATTAGAAATAAAAACTAAAGATTTTTATCAAGATATGAAAATTATGTTAGATCATTTTGACACATCAGATTATCCAAAAGATAATATTTATGGTTTACCTTTAGTTAACAAAAAAGTTTTAGGCAAGTTTAAAGATGAGTTAAATGGAAAAATAATGACTGAATTTATAGGTTTAAGATCTAAATTATATTCTCATCGAATCTTAGATACTGAAAAAGAAATTAAAAAAGCTAAAGGTGTTAAAAAAAATGTTGTAGAAAATAAAATATGTTTTAATGATTTTGAAAAATGTTTACTAACAAAAGAATCAAAATATGTTAAACAAAATTTATTTAGAACTAAGAAACATGATATTTTTACTGTAGAACAAAACAAAAAAGCTTTAAGTGTGTATGATGATAAAAGATTTATTTTGGAAAATGGTATTGATACATTAGCTTGGGGACATTATAAAACAAATATAGATAGAAATGATTTTGTAAACCATCTCAATACATTGATTAGAAATCAAAATCAAAAAGATTAGAAAAATATTTGATATTTAACGTGTGTCCGAATTGGGCACGCGTTTAAATATATAAGTTTTTTGCATTTCGATTTTTTATTTTTAATAGAACAATTCTATTAAAAAATATTTTAATTATTATTACATTTCGATTTTAATTATTAATATCATAAGTATTATGAAAAATATTTTGGGTGTATTTAATAAGTTTTGCGAAAAATGTTTTTATTATTATTGCATTTCGATTTTTATTTTTAATAATTAAGTTTTGCGGAAAATATTTTTATTATTATTGCATTTCATAAGTTTTGCGAAAAATTTTTTAAATTATTATTGCATTTCAATTTTCTGATCTTTTTGCACATTGTTTTCTTTGTGATCTTTTACTGATATATTATGAGGTGCGCCAGGACTGGTACATATATACTACTTGCCTATCTAGTACACAACTTACAAATAAAGGAGAGTATACCTAGGTCAGTAGTAAGTAGTAGTAGTAGTATTATTTTGTTCATTGGTTGTAAATACCCAACAGAGAGTTAACTGTGACTTACACTACCTATTTCGTAGGAGTGGATATACACATGACAAAATAGATAGGTATGTCAGCAACGATACGAGTTTTGGTCCTGTTAGCGCATCACTCCCTTCCCAGCCATAGTCGTGGTTCGCCTCATTTCATTGGCCGTTAAATTACCCGCCAAAAATACAATTTTGTAATATTATAATCAAGACGAGATTAAAAATTAATAATTATGATTTATGAATAATAGATTAATACGAGCTTTTTACTATGAAAAATTACATTTTATCATTTTCTTGTATGATATATGTAATTTGTTTTATGTTATTCATCGATAACAATGTATTATGATATTTTAACATAAACAAATACAATCAATTTGCGAATTATTTGTTGTTAATTGTTTATACTAGATTTATATGTTGATTGTGTTTATTTAAGTAAAATACTCCTATATATTTACATATAATATTTACATTTTCACACAAAAAATTCCAATTTGTGAGTTTTTTGGATGTGATAATGGTAGCAAAAGGAAAAGTTTGGTGAAAAATCCTAAAATTATGCTACATCGATTCCCAAAAGACCCAATTTTAAGGGATTGCTGGGTAAAACAAATACACCAATATGGCCAAACAGATGAAGATAGGAAATCCATAAATTTTAATTCTGGTAAAACCAAATAATTTTTAGTAATAATATTTACTTTAGTATCTTACTTGATTTCCATATTTCTTCAAACATTAAATAATTATATTTAGCGGTTGTTTGTTCTTTGCATTTCATGTCATATATTCCGGAATAAAGGGTAGAAAAATATTAAAACCAAATGCTATTCCTTTGAAGTAAGATTTTTAAAATTATGATTTCTTAATTACATAAATACATAATTTATTTTATAAATTGAAATATATAATTTGTATTTATTTAAGTATACATAGCATGATTGATGGTATTGTGTGTCTTGAAGAGTTTATTACTCCTCAAAAAAATAGATCAAGTTGTAATGAGCCAGTAATAATCACCTCAACTGGAAAATTCTCTGTGTACGAATAAATTTAAATACAATCTATTACCAAATTACTCAACTAAACAGTATAATTTATGATATAAATATTATGTATTTTTACTTTTTAGAGAAAAATTGTGTGAATCTGTTGTTGCTTCTGCAGACCATAAGTAACTATACACAATACAAACATGAGTACCTAATAATAATACAATATTGTTTATTTTTATTTTGTTAGGTCTAAAGAAAAATATAGAATTAACCTTTTTGATGATCTAGAAGTTCAACCACTAGATCAAAGTTTAGAAAATAAAATGGAAAATAGTTCATCATATCAAAAGTAATGTACATACTTTTTTTTAAATAATAATTAAGTCTTCCAAAGCCTTTTGTGATAAAGTAAGTTTATTGTTTAATAACTATTAATTAAATTTAAATACATACATTGTAAATTATAATTTGAAGATAATTAAAAAATACATATTCATTATTATTTTACAGTTAACAATTTACATAACCACTTAAGAATTACTATTAAAATAAAAACCTAACATTTACAAACTTAAAAGAAAAATAGAAATTAAGGAAATTATTAAGTGCTTTTGGTGTTTGTATGGTGTTAATAGGATATGTAGTTAGATAATTAACAGTATTATGGTATTATAGAATATTAAATAACAATAAGGATTTAGTATTTGGATTAAATTATTTCCATGTATAGGTAGTAAATTTTTATTTGTTAATTTATATAAAATAAAAAATGTCTTACATGTATGCATGCTATTTAGCTTACCATATTTTTCTAATGTTTGTGTTAATAAAATTCATGTTTTCTAATTGTCTATTATATGTTTGTTTTATATGTAATGTTTTAATTATTAAAAAAAATATCATTAATATGAAGTGTTTTAATTATTTATTTAAGTATTTTATTACTTTTTATTATTAATTTATGCTCTAATCCGTAAATAGTAATACTATAATGTAAACTATAAAAATGTATTCCTAAAATGATTAGACTAAAAGAAGAATGTGACAAATATAAAGAAAAAAATATGAAACTTGAGGAAGAAAATAATGTTTTAAAAAAAAATATTACTTTTGAAATGGACAAGGTAAAATATTATACAGATCTTATTAATTTGGAAGATGTTCGTTTTGAAAGTCGCTTTGGTAATATTTTATCACAACTCTTTACACAAACTCAAATTCAGCTTCTTCTACATCCAAAAAAAAAAGTATATCAGTGGACAGTAAGAAGATATTTCTTCGGCGATTACTTTAAGGAGTATATCGCCAAAATGTTATCGTTACTTAAGAGAAAAAAAAATTTTCAACTGCCAGGTAATTAATATATTAATATATAAATTTATTACCTAATAAATTAAATTATATGTACTAAATATATTTTGAGGTCTATCTACTTTACGAACTTGGGCAGCAAAATTTCCAATTGATGATGTAATATTGACTAGTGTTTTATCTTTGATGAAATCTAAAGGTATTTTAAATTAAAATATGTAAAATTTGTTCCATGTATTTTAAGTATTGAAATATTTGAGAATATATTTATATATAAAACAAAATATTTTTAATGAAAGGAGATCTTATGAGCACAGCTGACAAATTAACTGTAATTTGTTTTGATGAAACCTATATTTCAAGTAGAATGTGTTTGGACAAAAAAAATGAACGAGTAATAGGACCACATAAATGTGTACAAACCGTTATAGCTCGAGGTACATACAGTAACATTACTATCAACGTTATTATGACTAGATATGTATTAAGTAGATAAATCTAAGACTAATTCATTTACAGGGTTGGTAAGTAATTGGAAACAGCCGATTATGTATGGATATGATACCCCAATGACACAAGAATTATTACATCAAATTATTGAGCAGCTGCATAATGTTGGGTTTAATGTCATTGCAATGGTTAGTGATATGGGTTCATCAAACATTGGATTATGGAAAGCTTTAAACATATCTATAGAGAATACGTCGTTTAAGCATAAAATAACAAACCAAAACATCTATGTTTTTGCTGATGTCCCACATCTTTTGAAGCTAGCAAGAAATCATTTAATTGACAAGTATAAAACTAATTTTTAAATTAATATCTATTAAATATCAATATTTTATAACAAATATAATTATTTCAGAGGTTTTGTACTTTCCAATAGAAAATATATTGGAAAAGGTGTTTTTGAAGAGTTGTTAAATTTAAACTCTGGCCAAGATTTTAAATTGGCTCATAAATTCACGAACAAACACCTATTAGTTGAAGGGACTGGTCGTATGAAAGTAAAATTAGCTGCACAGTTATTTTCATATACAGTTTCCAAAGCAATTGAATATGGTGGAGAAAAAAAGTTATTAGAGGAATATAACTGGAAAGAAGTAAATACTTATTTTATAAATGTATAATTAAGTAGTATAAAAAAGTTTAATTGTTTTTTTTTATTATCTTGGAATTACATTTAATATAATGCTTGACAAAAAAAATGTTTGTTTTAAAAAAAGGCTTCAGATATTATTTTGCTATTCAACGATTGGTTTGATTTACTAAACACTCAACATAAATTTCATAAAGGAGTAAAAAGTTATGGCCTAGATGAAACAAATCAAAATGATTTACTTGAAAAAATGAACAGTTTTATCAAGTCCATGAGAGTTCATCAAAAAAATCTTTACTACCATTTCAAAAGGGTAAAATATTTATGAATAACTTATATATTTTTAAATTGTATCAAATGCTTTTGGTTTATGAGAACAGATAACTGTTATTTCTATGTTACACATATTGGCTATTATACAATTTTAATAGGGATTTTAGTCACTAATATATCCCTAAAAAATTTATTAATTGATATTAAAAACATGAATGGTCTCACATATATAATAACTAGAAAGTTGAACCAGGATATATTGGAAAATTTATTTAGTTTTCTAAAAGGAATGGCTGGATGTGCAAGCAATAATATTACTGCATTGGATTTTAAATACTGGTAGGGATTTAATCTAAATGTAATAAAATTACTCTGTAGTTTTTATAACTCAATAATTTTTTTTTAGTTTGGGGTGGTATATACTAGGCAAACACTCTCACTTAGTATTTTCAGAAAATACTAATACGGAAGATGGTCATGAAGAAAAGTTGTTGAATGATTCCGAATGTATAACATCAGAACTATTCAATAATTTAGAATTGTCCAAAGAGATCTGCAATGACCAGCTTGAGACGGAAAGTCACAATACTTGTTTGAAGGAAACAGATATTCCAGAATTAGATTTTGATTTACTAAAACAATTTGAAGTATGTATAAGCTAAAAATGTAAAACGCTAACAACAAATTACAGCAATACGTACATTCTTTTATAGTTGGACACCGAAGAACCATTCAATAACATAGAGAAAGAATGTGCAGAATTTGTGGCAGGCTACGTAGCTAATCGGTTTTTCAATAAATATCCCAATTTGATA